GTCAGCTCTCAGCTGCCTGGGTGCTGGCCTTAGCTGTAGAGAGCCATCTCACCCATAATCATGCCCCTTCCCAGGCAAATCACGGATAGATGCAGGCTTAGAAAACCCTCACCATCTCTGCCCAACTGGGACTATTCTAGCTAGAGAGTTGTCTAGGGGTCAGAGGAAGCTGTTCCTGGTCCTGTATCATGGTTTGATTCCTCTCTCTGCCCACCACTGTAATCCCCTACTTCCCTCCAGGTCACCCCTTAATCAACACCTGTACCCTAAACCTATCTCAGAATTAGCTTCCAGGGAAACTCAGCCTGTCATAGCTGAGCTTGAGGAAGACAGGCACCTGGCATTTGCTGGAAGGACAAGGTGTCTAGAACCACCATAAGGGGAGACCCCTTTGGCTGACACACAGAGCCTCCCTGCTGGATGGAGTGTCTTCACACAGCAATGGCAGGTGGCCTCCTGTTCCAGGCACCACCTCTGTGGTGCTTACAGAATTCCTGTCACTTGTTGCAAAGCTTAAGAGAAGTGAACCCATGTGATGGAGGAGGGGACCTGGTCAGATGCTCCTTGAGATGTGGGCTGTGAATGTAGATTCCCACAGCATGACAGCTAAAAGATCAGAGTGCACTAGGCTTCTCAAGTATTTCTGCCCAAGAACCTCAAAGGGAAAGGAAGGCAAGCTTAGATCCCTGATCTAGGAGGATAGGTTCTCTTTACCTAGTGATTTGGGTCATGTGGGTCTGAATGTGAGCAGCTCAGATGTAGGTGTGAGATCCAAAGCCAAGGCAGAAAGGTAGAATTAGCTGGGGTCTGACTGAGGTCATGGCTTAGTATGAGGCTGGATCAGGGGTCAGCATCGAGTAAGAGCTCAGTCTTGCATCAGGCCTTTGTTTGGGGTTATTGTTTATCCTGGAATCACGGTTCAATCAGTATCAGGAATGGAACTCCATCTGGGGCCAGGACTTAGTATGAGGTTAGATGAGGGCTCAGTCTGGGATCAGGACTTAGTATGAGGTTTGGATGAGGGCTCAGTCTGGAGTTAGGACTTAGTATACGGTTTGAACGAGGCTCAGTCTGGAGACAGGACTTAGTCTGACATTGAGATGAGGGCTCATTCTGGGGCTGGATCAGGACTCCATGTGGTCAGAGCTCTGTCTAGAGCCAGAGTCAAGTCAGGATTCAGCTCTGGTAGGAGCCAGGGCTTAGTGTGAGGCCAAACTTTAGGGCTATTCTAGCATTAGGGTCATGACGCAGTGTGCCTCAGAGTCATGAGTTTCTCTGAGGTCACAGGCTCAAGTTGGAACCTTGTTCTAGTTTTATTTTTTATGTTTATTTTTATTTTTTTGAGACAGAGTCTCACTATGTCACCCTTGGTAAAGTGCTGCAGCATCACAGCTCACAGCACCCTCAAACTCCTGGGCTCAAGCGATTCTCTTACCTCAGCCTCCCAAGAAACTGGGACTACAGGTGCCCATCACAATGCCTGGCCATTTTTTGGTTGCAGTTGTCATTGTTGTTTAGCAGGCCCGGCCAGGCTCAAACCCACCAGCCTCAGTGTAGGTGGTTGGAGCTCTACTCACTGAGCTACGGGCGCCAAGCCCTTGTTACAGTTTTAGGCTGGGGTCTGTTTAGGGCTTAGACCTGGCCCAGGTGTTTGAACCCCCTGGTGTGTGGAAGCCCAGACCCCTGAATCAACTTTGTGTTGAGATCCTCCAGGAAGGTTCAGATGGCATTTAAGAGACTAAGGAGACTTGATGAGAGGAGAAGCCCTGAGACCCAAGTAAAGCCTGAAGCTGGCATCCTTCTGAGCGCCCCAGGGCCAGCCAACTCAAGGCCTTTCTTAGTCCTGAACTACTTATTCTGCCCATCCTTGTTAAGGGCAAGGTCAGGGTGTTGCCCTACCAGTTGAAAGGTAATCCTGCCCTGCATACTTTTGTTTGCACTTTCCAAAACCACATTTCCATCCATACACTCCCTTGGGTCTCTGAGCTGTCTTTTCTCAATTTCTCCACCTCTTCCACCCTAACCAGGGCTCCCATTGGCTGCTGGGGTGGCCTCTGCTTTCAGCTGGGGCTGGAATAACCTGTGAGGCCAGTTTTGTCCCATTAAAGTGCTACCTGAGCTCAGTTGAGAGATGCCAAGGGCAAGAGAACTGTACTGGAAACAGAGCTACCTGACAGGTGGTCGTCCCTAAGCCTATACGATGGGACTTTTAAACGTTTGTGGAAAAGTGAAATTAAAAGATAAAAATAAAAATAAAAAACATAAACTTTATTTCTCAGCAAAACTCCATCAGGTTGGAGACAATTTTGTAAGTGATGATACCAGCCATCTAGTCCAGCCCTAAAGAACTGAGGGTCCTGGGAACTTAACCATGTCAATGCAGTAAAGTGAAGAAAAATGGGTGCCTTTTAAAGACTTTTTGAGATTAGGAAATCAAAAGATGTCTGAAGGAGCCAAACCAGGACTGTGAGGTGGATGCCTAATGATTTCCCACTGAAACTCCTGAAAAGTTGCTCTTGTTGGGTGAGAGGAATGATCAGGAGCGTTGTTGTGGTGGAGAAGGACCGTCTGGTGAGGCTTTCCTGGGCATTCTTCTACTAAAGCTTTGGCTAACTCCCTCAAAACACTTTCACAATAGGTACAGGTTATCATCCTTTGGCCCTCCAGAATGTCAACAAGTGAAATGCCTTGAGCCTCCCCCAAACTGTGGCTATGACCTTGGCTCTGGACTGGTCCATTTTTGCTTCAGCGTGACCACTTCCACCCTCGGTAGCCATCACTTTGATTGTGCTTTGTCTTAAGGATTATACTGGTCTAAAGCCATGTTTTATCTCCTGTTACAATTCTTTGAAGAAATGCTTCAGTATCTTAATCCCACTTGTTCAAAGTTTTTATCAAATGTTCTGCTTTTGTCGGCAGGCAAATCTGGGTGCAAGGGTTTTGGCGGAACCCAAATTTTCAAGTGGAAAGTTTGCTCAACCTTAATTTTCTAGTCAGAACTGTGTAAGCAGAACCAGCTGAGACATGGATGGTGTTGGCTATTGCTTCTGCCGTTAATCGCGACTCCTCTTCGATTAGGGCATGAACAAGGTGAAGTTTTTCCTTGTAAACTGGGCTTCCTCTTGAACATCATCTCATCCCTTCTGAAAACGAATTATCCATTTGTAAACTGCTGATTTCTTTGGGGCACTGTCCCCATAAGCTTTTCATAAAGCATCAGTGATTTCATCATTCTTCCACCCAATCTTCACCATGAATTCCTTTGTTTTTGCTTCAGTTTTAGTAGAATTCATGTTGTTTGCTAGGGGCTCTTTTCAAACTGCTATCTTATTCTTCTTAGTGCCCCAAACTAAATCCTGCTCATATATAATAAGTTAGTATAAACTTATTTTGGTGGAAATAATTTGAAATCCATGCATAGTTTTTTTGTAATATGCATTTTCCTGGAACTATTTGAAGACCACTCGTGTGTAGTCTGATAGAGCATTTTAGCTCCAGAGCTGCCTGGGGATGGGCGGAAGCTATCACTGGGCCTACTTCATGGCCTGGTTCCCTTCTCTGCCCACCCCTGTGTCCCCCACCTACTCCCTGGGCATTGATTTCCAGGTCACTCCTAAACCCATCTCAGAATCAGCTTCCTGGGAACCTCAACCTGGGACGGCCGAGATTGAGGAAGACAGGTAGTTGGCATTTGCTGGAGGATGAGGTGTCTGGAGCCAGCACAAGAGAAGACCTCTTTGGCTGACATGCAGAGCCTCCCTGCTGGACGGAGCGTCCTTACTGTTGACTTCAGCCCTCAACGCTCTTTTTGCTGCACCATCTTGAGGAAGCAGCTGCCTGCCCAAAAACACCCTGCTGCTCCTCTGAACTGGGATCAGCATTAAGAACTTGGCCTTGGAAAGGGGGTTCTGGAGCCAAAGCAGCCTCAGAGCCTGACTCATCAAATGCATCCGCTCTTCTGGCTCCCAAGTACAAACGTTATGTAGAATCAGAACAACAAAGACCACCACTGGGGGGCCCTCAAACACTGTCTAACTGCCTGCCTGACCCTATTTTTGCAAAGACCCACTGCATACATTGTTGTCACTTGATTTTGTATCCAGAGGGTGTCTCACTGCACCGGAGTCCATTTTATTATTGTTGATCACATTGCTTAAATTATATGATTAATTATAATTCCTTTGGCTGTATAGAAAGTTTCAGAGTTGGATTCCCTGTCTGTTATCTTCAGGGCCTGGGTGTGTCTACTCTAGTCTCTGTCTCCGGGGTCCATGTTCTGTTTTTGACTCCAAGTCCATGATTTGTATTGCTTGAGCTGTTGGGGATATTTTGCAAAGTCAGTGTTGTACTGGTTCCAAAGAAAGAAGTCCATGCAGGGCGTGGCTGGGCTGGTGCTATGAGCTCCTTAATGACCATGACTAGATCCGATTTGGGGCTGCAGGTTTCTGGGAATGCACTCCAGCTGGATGGCCCCTCCTTTGTCTTCTTAGTTGCCCCCTAGATCCTGGGTCTGTGTCTTCACTGAGGAACAATCTCCCTTGGCTTTAAATCTAATGCTTTTCTGGTTCATGACTTTGGTGTAATGGAACACACATGGTCCCCACTCTGCTTCCAGCTCACCCTGTGGCCTCAGTCAGGCTGCTCCTTCTCTGTAACAGTATGGAGGGATGCTTCAGAGCCAGCACTGACACTTTTGGGTTCTCTGTCAGGGCTGGGAGAAGAAGGGCATTTGAAGAAGTGAGAGGAAGCAGGGAGAGCCCAGAGGCCAGCCAGAGTGATGACAAACTGGCCGGGCAGGAGATAGCAGAGCTGGACAGGCCAGGGTCGCCGTGATGCTGGGGCTGTCAACTTCCCAGCTAGGCTGAGGCCTGCTCAGTTCTCACATCATCCAGAGTTGTCCAGAAGCTTAAGGATTACTCAGGGCAACACCTCATTTTATGGATGAGGAAACTGAGGCCCAGGAGAGGAAGGAACTTGCCCAAGTTTACCATGTAGGGTAGAGGTTGGAGCAGGACTAACCCAGGCTCCTGGCCCCCATGTGGAATTGATAAAGAGGTGGATAGGAGGAGAATGGGACCAAATCCTCCCCTTCTGTCCCTCCTGACCCATCACTTGGCGGGGACCACATGGACAATCACGAAACCCTTGATGTCTGGGAAGTGGGGGCTGACGAGGTCCACCTGTAGCTGCCTTGGGCCACTCTTGGAGGGGGTGATATCAAACTTGACTGAGGCCCTCTCCTGGGGCTCCAGGCTGGGCACACTGGAAGACAGGGTGAGCAAAAGGCAGACATCAGTCCTCTCCCTTTCTGAGGCTGGCCTGCCAGAGCCTTCAGGATCAAGCTCACCTTGTGTCTTGACACTCAGGCCTCATCAACATGTTTCCAGCTTCATCTTCCCTTTCTTCCCCTCTCCCACCCACACTCTTCCCATCTGGCCAGTGCCTTGAATGTAACTTTCACCTCCCTCCATGGGGCTTTTGTCTGCTCTGTTCCTTCTACCTTGATGCCCTTTCCATTCCAGGGACACCCAGAACAAGCTTCTCTCCTTCCAGGAGGGTTTCCCTGACAATACCAGCCATAGAGACCTCTGCCTGGGGGGAGTCCTTCTTCCTTCTTGATACCTGAAAGGCTCCTTGACTCACCATTTTAAGGCCCAGTGCAACTGTGAGCTCACTGGGACTGCTTTTCACCCCACCCTCATCAGGGGGTGCCTCTGATACCTTGGACCTTGGAGATCAATCTGTTTGTAAAATCACACTGTCTTCATCTGTCTCTGAGAGCCCATCTCCAGGAAGGACCCCGTCTGCCCATCTTAGTGCTTCTGACAATTTCCACATGGCTCAGAGCACGTGGCTCAGTATGATCAAAGACTATATGAGTAGTGAGTGAATGAATGAAAGGGTGAATACATGATTGATGATGGATAAGCAAATAAATAAAATGTGTGTGAATGAATGAGTGAATGCATAATTGAATGAATGAGTGAATGAGTGAGTGAATAAATGAACAAGCAAACTAAAGAATGAATGAGTGGATGAATGTGCCAATCAAAACTGAGTTGAATAGAGAAATAAATGAATTAATGAATGAAAAATATGAATAAAAGAGCAAATGAAGGAGAGTGAGGGAATGGATAAGAAGTGAATAAATGAGTGAAGATACAAGTGGATGGTATGAGTCAATGAGGGAGTGGATGAGTTACACAACTAAGTAAATGAGTGACTGAATGAAGGAATGAATAGGGGAATGAAGGCTGCTGTGTATAGGCAGCGAGCTGATTCCTGGGGAGTCCAGAATCTCTGGACACACTGGTGGCTTCTCTCTGACCCATCCATAAAGAAGTGAGCCTCTCTCCCTGCCACCCTCCAGCACTTACTCAATGTTGAGCTGTCCCTGGAGAAGGCCGCTGCCCTCCACCATCAGCACACAGTCCTCTGCTTTCTCTGAGAGGGGGTTGACCACTGTGACTTCCACCACAACTGCCACTCCCACCATGGCTGGACCCAGGACCTGCAGGAGCAGCACTCATGAGCCATCTTCTGCCTCTTCCTCATCCACCCAGGAAAACCCATGTCCTTGCTGGGTCAGAGGACGGGACATTAGTCATGTCTACCCCTGCTGTGAGTGCCATCATCACTTGTGTCCACCCTACTCTCCCACCCTTGGGAGCTGAAGCTGGAGCTAGAAGCACAAACACCCAGCTTGCAAGGCCCTCCCCCGCCCTGGAGAGGCCCACTGGGAACAGGGTGGTGGACAGGGACAGCAGCAGCACCTGGATGGTGATGATGTCCTCCAGACTAATGTCTTTCTCTACTAGGAGCTTGTCTCCCTTTGTAACATGGCACATGGCAGCCAACAGGATCTTCTTGTCTTCTGTCAGGTCTTCTTTATACTTGGAGTAGGGTATGGAAATTGGGATCTTCTTCTCTGGAAGAGAAGCAGAGGTAAGAGTTGGGGACTTGATGTTCTTCTTCAAAGGAAGGAGGAAGGGAATGCTGAACTAATAGCTACACCTTCTTTGGTCCTTGCAACCAGCCTGAGATAGGTATTATTCTGCTCAGTTCTCAGATGAGGAAACCCAAGGCTCATAGAGGGGACTTTCTTGTCCAAAGTCACACAGCAAATATATCAAGGAACTAAGATGAGGTGGGATTCAAAGTCAGGCCAGTAAGCTAGTATGACATCACATTGTTTCTCCAAGAGCTCTCAGAGATGTGTCTAGATTAATTATTTAAGATGGAAATATCTCTCAGTCCATCAGCCATTCATCCCATGGCTCACTGTTTATTGAGCACCTGCTATGTATGTACCAGGTACACAGAAGAGGGAGACCAAAAGCCTGCCATGAGTTTCCAATCCAGTGAGGTCAACTTCCATGCAGCTTCTCCAAATCCCCCCTCTCCATGCAGGGCCAGTCCTAGTCAGCACCACCAACTGTGGGGCTTCTCCAGTGGGACCCCCGCCTACTGTCCTTGTGCTGACTGGCTGTGGTCCTTGCCAGTTCTGTCTTCCTCTCACCAAACACCCTGACCATGTATTCTGTCCTTGTGAGCATGGGTTGTCACAAGCCATATCTGACCCTAGGTCATAGTTTTTTTCTTTTTGGTACAATGTGTTCTTTCTGGTTTGCCCCAGGCCCTACCATTCCCTATTGCCTGATTGCCACTGCTTTCTTTTATCTCTGTTTTCTTCTCGATCTTGAAGGCAGCTGAGTTTTTGATTCATGGAAAATGTTCTTAAAGGGCTTGAACTTGGCTCATACTCTGTTACCCCGGGGCTTTGCATATAGTGGATATTCCTGAATGCCTGTGGGAGATCGATCTGTGATATCCAATTTTTTTTTTTTTTTTTAAAGAAACAGAGTCTCCCCTGGTGCCCAGTGGTGCAATGATAGCTCAATGCAGCTTCCAACTCCTGGGCTCAAGCAATCCTCTCACCTCAGCTTCCCAAGTACCTGAAACTACAGGTGTGCACCACCCTGCTTGATAATTAAAAAAATTTTTTTTGTAGAGACAGGGTCTGGTTGTGTTGCCCAAGCTTGTCTCAAACTCCTAACCTCAAGTGATTCGTGTGTTAAAGCACTAACTTGTTGATGGGCTCCTTTAGCCCACTAGGTCATTACTGGAAGAATTTTCACTACAATAACAGCAATAATTAATAATTATGAAAGCTAACTTTTACTAAGGGATTAGAGTATGCCACAGAGTTGGATGCACTTTCATGGACTAACTCATCTAATCCTCACAATTTCATAAGTAGGTATTATTATTTTTATCCCCAACGTGTGATAAAAATTTCTAAAAAAATAACCACCATAAATTAAATATTCATTGGGTAGTAGGAATGACTCAAGATTCCTCATATACATTACATCGTTTGTTGCCTGCATGGTGATAGATGTAGTTCTCCACGTGTGGTCCTAGGACCAGAAGCATCAGCATCACTAGACATTAGTTAGAAATGCAAATTCTCAGGCTCCAGCATGAAGAACCACCATAGGCCACAAATGATATGCACAGGGAGAGCTTTGGGGATCAGCTCAAACCCCAGGAGAAAAGAGGAGAAAGTGGCCCCTTATAATGTTCAGATCAGGGCTTCTTGAAGTCCTCTGGGTCATTTGTTGACTCTGCTAACAATCCAGGAAAAACTGAATTCCTTTCCCTAGAATGGTGGTTCTCAGCAGCATCATTAATCAACTGAAAATAACTGACATCTGTAGAATACTTCACCCAACAACAGCAGAATACATATTCTTCCTGGAACATTCACCAAGACAGATCATATTCTGTGGCAATAAGTATCACATTAACACTTAAAAAACAAATACAAGTCTGGCTCAGCACCCATAGCACAGCGGTTACCGTGCCAGCCACATACACTGAGGGTGATGGGTTTGAACCCAGCCTGAGCCTGCCAAACAATGACAACTACAACAAAAAATACCCAAGCATTGTGGTGGGTGCCTGTAGTCCCAGCTACTTGGGAGGCTGAGGCAAGAGGATTGCTTAAGCCAAAGAGTTTGAGGTTGCTGTGAGCTGTGATGCCATAGCACTCTACCAAGGGTGACATAGTGAGATTCTGTCTCCAAAAAAAAAAAAAAAAAAAAACACCAAAACCAAAAATAAATACAAGTCATACCATCTCTGTTCTTAGATCACAATGGAATTAAACTAGAAATCAGTAACAGAAAGAAGTCTGGAACATAATTTAAAAATATTTTGAACTAAGTTCTAATGAAAATACAGAATTCATGGGATGCAGAGGAAGCAGTGCTTAGAGGGACATGAATATCATTTAATACAAATAGTCGAAAAGAAGAAAGGTCTAAAATCAATAGTGCAAGCTTCCACTTCAGGAAACTACAAAAAGGAGGGCAAATTGAACCCACTGTAAGCAGAAGAAAAGAAATAATAAAAATTAGAGCAGGAATCAATGAATTTGGAAACAGAAGATCAATAGAGAAAATTAACAAAACCATATTTGATAAGGCAGTGGCAGGGCATAAGAGGACTGCCTTCAGTTTTGAAAGAACTTGTCCCGTGAGTAAAATGCTGTCAAACAGCAGCACATGCTACAGAGAAACCGTTCCCAAAAGGAGGAGTTAACTAATGCAGCAAACTTCACCGTGGTCTTATTTTAAGAAATAGCCACTGCACCTTTCATCAACCACCACCATGGTCAGACAGCAGCCATCAACATGGAGGCATGACCCTCCCCCAACAAAAAAATCATGACTCACTAAAGGCACAAATGATTGTTAGCCTTTTTTTTTTTTTTTTTTTAGCAATAAAGTATTTTTAAATTAAGGCCTGTACATTGTTATTTAAAGCTATAATGCTATTGCACACTTATTATAGACTACAGCATAGTGTAAGCATAACATAGTTGGGAAACCAAAAAATTCATGTGACTTTGCTTTGTTGTGATAGTCCCTTTATTGTGGTTGTGTGAAACCAAACCCAAGTATCTCTGTGGGATACTTGTACATCAATAGGACGGATTAGAGTTCAGAAAAGAGATTAGACAAATATAGTCAGCTGACCTTTGACAAAGAACGGAGGAAGTACAATGGAGAAAACATAATCTTTTCAACCAACGGTGGTGAATCAACTAGGTATCCACACACAACAACAATAAAACCAACTCCAAACCAAACCAAACCCAAACAAAACATTGGACATAGACCTTATGCTCTTTCCAAAATTCACTTAAAATGGATCATTGACCAAAATGTAAAATGCAAAACTACAAAACTCCTGGAGACAACATGGGAGAAAATCGAGATGACCTTGGGTTTGGTAATAACTTTTTTGATACAATATCAAAGGCACGATCCAAGCAAAATTAAAACTCTTATGTACAAAAACATCATCAAGAGAATGAGAAGACAATGCATAGACTGGGAGAAAATATTTGCAGAAGACAAATTGGATAAAAGATTATTATCCAAATACACAAAGACATTAAAAACCCACCAACAAGAAAATGAGCAACCCAGTTAAAAATTTGGTACATGATCTGGATACCTCACCAAAGAAGACAGAGAGATGTCAAATAAGCATATGAAAAGATGCTCAACAACGTATTAAGGAAGTGCAAATTAAAACAATGAGATACTATCACGCGTCTGTTAGAATGACAGTGATGCAGAGCACACATCGCCACCTGCTGGAAAGGATGTGGAACTCCAGGAACTCTGTATTCATTGGTGGGAATTCAAAATGGTACAACCTCTTTAGAAGATAATTTGGCAGTTTCTCCTCCCCCCTCTTTTTTAGGGACTTCTATGAGATTGGCAGTTTCTTACATGACTAAACATATCTTTACCACACGATCCAGCAATTGAGCTCCTTGGCATTTACTCAAATGGAGCAAAAACTTAGGTCCACACAAAAACCTGCCTGTGGATGTGTACAGTAGCTTCATTGACAGTTGCCAAAACTTGAAGCCGACGAAGACATCCTCCAGTATGTGAATGGATAAGTAAACTGTGTGCATCCATATAATGAAATACTATGGCCTATCAAGACGCGAAAAACCATGGAGAGTCCTTAAATACATATTGCTAAGTGAAAGAGCCCAATATGAAAAAGCTAAATCACACAGTATGATTATAACCATGACATTTTAGGAAAGGCAAAAGTATAGAGGCAAAGGTTTGGGGAGGGAGGAAGGAAGGCCTGGGCCACAGAAATAGTAGGGGAGTGACACTCTTCTGTGTGATACCGTAATGGCGGAAATAGGCTGTTATAGACTTGCCAGACTCAACAGAATGGAAGCAGAGTGAACCCTAATGTAAATGGTGAATTTCAGTTAGTAACACTGTGACACTACTGGCTTCTTAACTGAAGCAAAGGTACCACACTAACACCAGATGTTAACAATGGGGGCAGAGTGGGTAGTGGGGAAAGGGATATAGGTGAATTCTCTGTACTTTTCACTCACTTTCCCCCTATAAACCTAAAACTGCTTTAAAAAGGCTATTAAGTTAGAAAACAAGTTACAAATTTTAACAAGCTGTATGTTTCAATAGTCATACCATTTGGCTCAAAAATTCCACTTTTGTGATCTAGTCCAATGAAATAGTCCAAAATCCAGAAGAAAAAAGAGGAAGGTCCTTTTTTTGCATGTTTACTTTACTGTTATTTTTACATTTATTTATTTATGTATTTATTTATTTATTTTTGAGCCATAGGTGCTGCCCTATTTATTTATGTTTGAGACAAAGTCTCACCCTGTCACATATCATAGCTCCCAGCAACCTCAAACTCTTAGGCTCAAGCTATCCTCTTGCTCAGCCCCCCAAGCAGCTGGGACTATAGGTGGCCGCCATAACACCTGGCTAATTTTTCTATTTTTAGAAGAGACAGGGTCTCACTCTTGGTCAGGATGGTCTCAAACTCCTGAGGTCAAGCAATTCACCCATCTTGGCATCCCAAAGTACTAGGATTACAGGCACGAGCCACTGTGCCTGGCCTTTGCTGTTATTTTTAATAGCAATGATCTGATAATTACTCTAAATAAAAGCTAAAATAAATCACCATGCATTTATTTAAAGATTACACATCTATAAATAATGTTTATGAAGAGTTTATAAAAATATTTAAATTTTAAAGTAGTATGGTAAGAGCAAGGCACTAGTAAGTGTTTTCAGTATTTAACTGGAACTATGTTTTTTGAAAAACAGATAGGCATTAAAAATTTGGAAGGAAATCACATTAACAGTTTGTAAGTAGGTGGTGGCATTATAGGTGATTTTTCTCTTTTGCTCTCAAAATCTTTAATGAATATGTATTACTTTGGACATGAAAAAAATAGCTGAAAGCCAGGGGGAGGTGTATGTTAATTATTATTTCGTGATGAAGTGCTATTTTGTGATGTAGAGTTTGTGAAAAATAAATGACAAAAACCACCAAAAAAGTGTGACACCTCCTTCGTATGTTTTCACTCGCTGTCAAAATCCACAAGCTTCACTAACCAGAAACTGGCCTAAAGGAACTTCTTTGTTTAACTGAATCCTTCAAGTTCAGAAAGTATTTGTTCAGTGTGTACATTCACACGACAGTAGAGAGACAGAGACAGAGAGAGAGGAGAGGCAGAGAAATGGAGTGAGAGATAGAGGCAGAGATGGAGACAGAGAGATAAATGAGGGGGGAAAGTCAAGAATAATTAAATGGGAGATATAGTAGAACCTCTGTGAGTTGACCACCCCAGGAACTGTAACAAATTGGTCAACACAAGGAACGAGGCCTAGTGTACTGATATATACATGATATATACATGTCTGGTCTATGAAAATGAGGTCAACTTAAAGAAGTGGTCAATGTGGGGTGGTGGTCAACTATGGAGGTTCTATTGTATTTAGTAAATTATACATGAATTGAGAAAATCCTTGATATATTTTTTAAAAAACAATCGGAATGAGGTCAGTTCAAATTACATAAAAACTTTCAAAAGTCATTCTGTTTTGCTGTGAAATAATAAAAATGAATTTTAGGCAAATGATAGGCATTAAGCATATTTGGCCTGGCCCGACCTCTCCAAAGTCATGCAACTGAATCAGTGGAGTAAATAGGCTTTCGATCAACATTCCTGGCTTTGAACTTGGCTTTGCTCTTTCCCTGGCTTTGGTCGGGGATGTATCTCTAACACCAGATTGTCGGGGTTTGGGTCCTGCCCAGTATGCACACAAACTGTGTGATTTTGGACTTGTGACTTCACTTTTCTGGGTGTGAATTTGCTCCCCTGGAAGATGGAGCTGCCGCTAGCACCCTGTGCAATGTGGCTGTAGGGACTGTGCTGTTGCTCAAAGAATTCTCAGGACAGGGCCTGGCACATGGAAGCACGTCAAACATCTCTTCCTGGTCCAACCTCTCATGTGGAACACTGGTGCAAGATAAACTCCAAAATTTTTTGGATTTTAGAAAAATAACCTGAGGCATACTCCATATATTTTGAAATACTTCCAGCATGTATTCATTTGGTGTGTAAATATTCACACTATTTGAGATAAATAGAGACCATAGATCATTTCTCCACCAGTTTGCACCAGATACTTGTGAACTTTATTACTACTGTTATCATTATTTTGCCTCTCGGATCCTCAGTTTTCTCTTCTGTAAAGGGGGAACAAGAGGTAAGATCCTGAGCACAGTGCTCAGGGCCGTCCCTTTTCTTCCTAGGAATGAATGGAGATCCTGGGAAGACCCCTTTCCCAACCAACCTTCCTGGAAAAGCAAGTGGGTTGGCCAGGTCCCTCCAAGCCCAGGTATTCTTACCTTCTTGTGGCCCCAGCCTTACTGTGTGGGATTCATGCAGGATCTCTGCCACTGGCTTGCGGGTGTAGAGGATGGTGGCACCACTCAGGTTAACTTGGACACGCTGGGCCCTGGAGGTGAGGTTGACCAGGCACAAGGCCAGTCTCAGATCCTGGCCCAGCACGGGTGGCTCCAGCACTTTGAACTTGCCACTGATGCTGGGCTTGGTGGCAGGCTCCAGGAGGTCATCACGCCAGAGACCACGTCCCCCTGCCCTGCGGACCCGGGTTCTCCTCCCACAGGCTTCCACGCTGAACAGCTTCTTCACCGCCTTTCTGTATACCTGCCTCTCGTTTCGGGACCCTGCAGGGCATCACATATCATCAATACAGGCGCCCTCTTCCCCCTGGAGGTCTCTGACAGCTGGAGGGACATATGCAGACCTCAGCTTTATGCCTTGTGGTTTTCTGACTATTTAAATAACATTTTCATCAGTTGCCAACACCTTCAGATCAGGATATTTTACATAAAAATGCCTGTTTCCAGCTTCTCTGACAACTGCGTCAGAAGCCTCATATGATAATGACAGCTAAAATTTTTGTACCTACTACACACCAGGCACTATAGCTCTTGATGCTACATTTTTCCCCTAGGAGGTAGGTGCTGTTACCATTCCCATTTTACAGATGAGGAAATTGAGGCCCAGAGAAGTAAAGTAACTCCTCAGTCACACAGCTTGTGTAGTAAGTGAGGGAGCTGGGATTTGAACCCAGGCAGCCGGCTCCAAATCCCATTCCTGCCCCCTTACCACTCTCTACATGTCAGTGATGAGCTCTGGTTGTCCTTGATCTCCACCTTGTAATTCTCACCGATCTGTGGTACTCACAGGGTGCCATCTGCAGGGCCCATGTAGACACGTGAGTTTGGGATCCCTGAGACTCTGTATTCCATTGCCAGACAGACCTTTTGAGCTCCAGGCCATTACACAGAACTGTCCATTGCCAGACAGACCTTTCTTTTGAGCTCCAGATCATTATACAGAACAGGACAACACCTGAGGTGTTGTCCTCAACAATCCAAGCAAATCCCAGCAGCAGCCTCCATTTCAGCAAATGGTACCACCATTCATCCAGTTGTACAAACCAAAAACCTGAGAGCGTTCTCAGCTTCTCTTACCCTCAACACCCACTGCTGACCCCTCACCAGGTCCTGCTGAGCAATGTCATTAACATCTGGCATCTGTTCTCTTCTCCTACCATATAAACCACCTCATCAGGTCGGTTTGTGAACTCATATTACTATTATCATTACTTAGTTCCTTTTGATTTTCCCATCTGTAAGGTGGGAACGAGAGGCTCACAGGCAAGGTATTGAGCACCACAGTGGTCAAGAATGTCCTCTCCAGTCCTTTCCCTACTCTGGTCCATGCAAAATCCATCTCTGATCTTTCCACTTCCCTACTTGAAACCTGCAGTGTGCGGTCTTCACACGGCTCTTTCCCATTTATTTTCCCCAAAGTACCTTAATTCTGTGTGATCTTGGTCTGAAGGGATCCATGTGGACATCAAGGTTCTTTAACATTGATGTTATTACAATGTATGCAGATTTTGCTATTCCACAATATATTAACAATATATTTTTGCTATGAGCTATTTCATTTCCCTGCCAAGGAATCTAATGATACTTTCACAGGGAAACCTTCTCGGACCACCTGATTTTTTTGAACAGCTTTATGAAGATCTAATTCTGTCACATACCGTTCACCCATTTAAAGAGTACAGTTCCATGTTTTTTAGTATGGTCACAGAGTCGTGCATCCATCACCACGATTTAATTTTAGAACATTTGTCACCCACAAAAGAAACTCCATAACCATTAGCTATTCCCATCCATTCCTCTCCACTCCGGCCCCAGCCCTAGGTAACTGCCAACTTAATTCCTAATTTTCCCATTTTGGACACTTCATATAAAGGGAATCGTACAATGTGTAGTCTTTTGTGATTGGCTTTTTCACTTAACATAATGTTTTCAAGGTTCACCCATGTTGGAGCATGGATCAGTCACTTTATTCCTTATTGTTGAAGAGTACCCATTGTAGAGATAGATATTCTATTTATCTATTGATGGGTATTTGGGCTGCTTCCACTTTTTAGCTATTTTGTATAATGTTGCCACGAAGGTTCACGTACAAGTTTTTGTGTGGATGTTTGTTTTCATTTCTCTTGGTTGGGTACCTAGAAATGTAATTTCTGGGTCATGGTAATGCTCTTTTAACATTTTGAGGAGCTGTCAAACTGTTTTCCAAAGTGGCTGCTCCCACCAGCGAGGTACCAGTTTCTCCACATCCTCAACAATACTAATTATCTATATTTTTGATTATAGCACTTCTAGTGGATGTAAAATGGTATCTCATTATGGTTTTGATTCGCACTTACCTAATGACTTAATCATATTTAGCATCTTTTTATGTGCTTGTTTGGTCATTTGAATATTGCCCTTGGGGAAATATTTTGTCATATCCTTTGCCATTTTTAAATTGTTTTCTTTATTTTATTATTATTATGATTTTTTTTTTGAGACAGAGCCTTACTCTGTCATCCTGGGTAGAGTGCCATGACATCGTCATAGCTCACAGCAACCTCAAACTCTTGGGTTTAAGTGATCCTCTTGCTTCAGCCTTCCAAGTACCTGGGATTACAGGTGTCCACCACAATGTCTGGCTAGTTTTTTAGTAGAGACAGATCTTTCTCTTGCCCAGGCTGGTCTCAGATTCCTGAGCTTAAGCAATCCACCCACCTCAGCCCCTAATTAGGCCTAAGTCACCATGCCTGGCTTATTTTTTTATTATTGAGTTGTAAGAGTATATATATGTGCACACACACATATATTCTGGATGCAAATCCTTATCCATTAGATACACGATTTACAAATATCCTCTCCTACTCCATAGGCTTTCTTTCCACTTTCTTTTTTTTTTTT